CTAATTTCTTGACTTTTCAGTCCTGAATCAGTAGCGGATTCAGGTTTGAATTTTCTGAACGATTCTTTAGAAATTTTTGTATTTTGTATCTGTCTGATTCTGAGCTGAATTATCTGAATGTTTAATCAGTCAGTTTCAGTCAAGAATCTCGGTGTTGTAATCCTTTGTGTTATGTCGGCACAATGACACGTGTCATTGCTTGTTGTCACTTCTTTCTGAACGTCGTTTCGATAAACTTCAAAATGTCATCAACGCATAAAAGATTTTAAAATGTAGAACTTTCTTTGTAATACTGTATCGCATCACATTATTTACACTTATGATCACTGTCAATCGATTTAAGTTCATTTTCAATCCAACTAAGTCAGATTGACGACTCATCTTAGTACTAAAGCAGAAACGTTACGTAGCGATCAGTGTTCTTTGTTATTCCCGCGTTATTCTTAATCAAAGGCGCTGTACATATGTTGCGTGTCCGCAACTAGATAGGAATAGTTAGGAGGATGGGAGTGCTACGCTGAAAATGATGCCCTTTTTTACGTTTTAAGTATGATTCTTGTGCGTCTGATTATTTATAGCCATCACTGATTCGCTAAGTGTTATCCACTCGCAAAAAAGTGTTTCTTTTTGCTTTCATTTACTTGTAGTAGATATAATCAGCAGAATGGATACATGGGGCACAGAAGTTTATTGTATAAAAAAGAGACCAAGAGGAAATTATCAAATCAAGTTTTGTAATCTCTCAAATGTTTACCTTAATTGAATCAAGTTGAATACTCTTCCGTATTAAAGATTTTTCTTTATTCGAAAAAAATGTGACGTTTCGGTGTCGATTAGCACCTTCATCAGACAATAGGATGCATGCACTCACACTCTGTTATATACACACTCCTTCTCGACAGTTCTTCTTTTTCGCTCGTACATATTATTTCTTGTTCTTTCGCTTATGCTCTATGATAGCGAGACGGCAAGACGGGAGGAGAGAGATCATTAATCTTCTTCTTCTTCTGCCGTCCCACTATCACCATCTTGCCCTTGAACCGATCGTTTGTCGCTGAAATTTCTTTCTCGACTCGATATGATGCTTTTTATCGATGGTTCTACTTCATAAAGCAATGGCGTCCATAATTTATCAATTTCATCTCGTCTGTTAATTGATTGAGAAAGAGTTGAGTATATCGACTCTTTGATTCTCCTTTTCCGCCTGTCAATTTCATCTTCGATAATGAACGCTGTTTTTGTATCAAACATGCATTGCCACCCTTTTTGATGGTGATGTTGGACCATTTTGGACTTTGAGTTATCGTCATCTTGTTCGATTAACTTTGCATGTTAGATCATTCGTTGGTGAAAACCTACTTTCGTTTCTCCTACGTATGTTGCTCCGCATTCGCACGGTATTTGATTGTTTCTCACTCATTGTGGTGATAATAAATATATCATCAACATATCTCCACAGTTTGCCCGCCTTACATACTTGGCCCATGTGTTTTTCCATATAGTCATGCATGTATAGATCGGCTAGTATGGGTGAAAGAGAATTTCCCATTGGTAGCCTACGCTTCTGTCAATAAAGCTTGCCGTTGAATTGAAAGTAACTATTATTGAGTGCAAGTAGTAGACGTTGCTTGATATAGGTCTTAGTGAAGGGCGTTTCGCAAAACTTCTCTGATGCTCCAATCCGGTCGATAGCAATATCTACCGCTCGACTGACGGGAATATTGGTGAAAAGATCCTCCACATCAAGGCTCGCGAATCTTTCATCTTTACGGAGTTTTACATTTGAGATTTCGCCAACAAACTTCATCATGTTACACACCGTGTAACTAATCGTTTCTCAAAGTTGGAAGGACATAATGAATTGAATCAAGTTGAATACTCTTCCGTATTAAAGATTTTTCTTTATTCGAAAAAATGTGACGTTTCGGTGTCGATTGACACCTTCATTAGACAATAGGATGCATGCACTCACACTCTCTTATATACACACTCCTCGACAGTTCTTCTTTTTCGCTCGTACATATTATTGAAATGAGCCATATTCACATCCTGGTGACGGCGCTATGTGTTGGCCGTCAAACGGCTTGAAAGCTGGCCGTATGATTGCATGTATTGTATAGACAGAACGCAAGAAAACAGTATCTATATGTAGCGACCTCATCAGGATGTGAATATGGCTCATTGACAGGCGGAAAAGGAGAATCAAAGAGTCGATATACTCAACTCTTTCTCAATCAATTAACAGACGAGATGAAATTGATAAATTATGGACGCCATTGCTTTATGAAGTAGAACCATCGATAAAAAGCATCATATCGAGTCGAGAAAGAAATTTCAGCGACAAACGATCGGTTCAAAGGCAAGATGGTGATAGTGGGACGGCAGAAGAAGAAGAAGATTAATGATCTCTCTCCTCCCGTCTTGCCGTCTCGCTATCATAGAGCATAAGCGAAAGAACAAGAAATAATATGTACGAACGAAAAAGAAGAAGAACTGTCGAGAAGAAGTGTGATTTTAAAATGTAGAACTTTCTTTGTAATACTGTATCGGTATCGTCCCGATTGTTGTCACTTCTTTCTGAACGTCGTTTCGATAAACTTCAAAATGTCATCAACGCATAAAAGATTTTAAAATGTAGAACTTTCTTTGTAATACTGTATCGCATCACATTATTTACACTTATGATCACTGTCAATCGATTTAAGTTCATTTTCAATCCAACTAAGTCAGATTGACGACTCATCTTAGTACTAAAGCAGAAACGTTACGTAGCGATCAGTGTTCTTTGTTATTCCCGCGTTATTCTTAATCAAAGGCGCTGTACATATGTTGCGTGTACTTTCTCGGAACACTTTTCATTTCCTGTTATGCTTTAACTCTATCTCTGTTACTTAGCATCCAATAAATATCAGCAAGGAAGGCCTTGTTTTTACAAAACTGCATTTTCTACAAAATAAGACCAAAACTATATCTTCTAGGTTTTCTAGTAAATCGAGATCGTCACAAATCCATAAAAAATGTTCGGGTCCGTACGCGGAGTCGAATACAAGAGAACTTGTGCCACCTCTGTCCCACTCTATACTGCTGGTTGAACGAATTTTGCAGACTGCGTTCTCTCAGAGTAGTAGTTTGTTTGTATTTTACTCCACACTCTGACTCTTTGGTAGTGTAGAATACAGATAGATTTTCATTTTTCTTTCTTTTAGTCATGGCTCAGGAACTTTTTATTATAATTTTTCCCCACTACTCATTTACATCACTTTCCTATTGTTATCACATACCAACATTTATATCTCCTTCTAAAATATCATAGTACATATAAGGTACTTACTTTTAAAGAATGAGTCAATATGCGGAAATAAGTTATTGCGTTATATTTATGCTTCTACTCTTTATTCTCCTATGCATTCAAATACCAATTGCATTAACAGAAATTATTATTGGATATGAATACAGTAATCAATGTCCAATAAAACTAAAAATTCTCTTATTTTTAGCAATTGGATATATCAATCTCTTAGCTCTGCCACTACCTAGTATTGTCTTGTATTTGTTGCGAATGTTACGAACCAGAGCATATCTATTCAGAATTAATACTACATACATCAACTGTAGGGGCTGTTTTTCAGCTTTACAGCAAGTTTAATTTGTGATAGTTTTGATTTGAGTTATTGTAATAAGACAATGTATCTAACAAGAAGATTATACACACATTATATACACAGTTCAGTTCTGTTGAAGAAAATCGAAAATTACGAACAGAATTCTGACGTTTTCGCCTCTGATTTAGAAAAAATGAAACTTCTCAGCACCGAAACAAAATTTAAAAGAACAACGATACTCAGCGTTTTACCTTGTCATGTGACCAATTGAATGTGATGTGAAACACGACCCCATCTCTTAACCAAAAAAACGAGATAGGTTTACACTCGGAACATATGACGTTTTCTAAACTTTCAATGAATCGGAGTTTTTCCTGCCCACGTTGTATGTAAACGACCTCAGAAACACGTTTTATTGTTCACTTTTTATGCTGATTAAGACAAAAATACTGCGAAAATTTCAAAAAATAAAGGGAGTTGAAAGATCCATTTTATTGAAAAATTGCTCATTTCTGAGCCAAAGTCAAGTTTTCAGTTTTTCGAAATTTTCCGTCTACAGCAGCTTGTTGAAAGGTTGAAACACTCATTTTCTCAACGCGCTCTATCCAACCATATATAAATTATTCAGAAAACAAATAGTGCTCTCCTTCGAATTCCGTGCACCTTATAACTCATTGTTTTTCTTACTTGTCAAATAATGGTTGTAATTTATGATTGCAAATAAAATTGATCAAGATGATAGTTTAACGAAAGAAGTACCGCCATCATAGAAAAATGACTCGAATAATAATGAAGAAGAAAATTTTGATGACTGTGATTCCCGTATTCATTCAAGTCTTCAAAGTATTCGAACAATAACCATTGACAAGAATAAAGTATGTGCACAGTCGAACTCTTCCTCGATTAACAATTTCATACAAAAAACAAGTACAAAATATGGAGTCAATACTACAAATTCGCGCTCATCCTTGACATCTTTATCTGAGAAAACAGCGGTATCGCGAGAGGCGGCAGCACCTGCTTTAACACTAACAAACAAGAAATCATCAAGTAAAAGTATCACAACATTATTTCGTAGAATATGTGGTTCACAAGCATCCGCACCATCCATCTCCAACAACAGTAAGAGGGTTCCATCATCTTCGCCTACATTATAGATTCCATGCGATTACGTGCGATTCCAGGATTCCGTGCTTTCCCCCTTGCTCAACTCTCTACAGTGTTTGTGGAAAAAAGTAGAGGCTAATAAATCAAAATTACTAGTTTTTTAAAGTTGACTATGTGAATAAGTGATCATTTTATTCACTCATCTTATTTGTAACATCCCTATTATGATACAATAAATGAGATAAATATGGCAGAGATATGATTTAAAAATGAGTCATATATGGCACATAAATGAGTCCATTTATGGCTCATTTTTTATCTTATTTTTCACGGCCTGGGTTATGGTAAGTGAAAACTACATAATTTGATTTGAAGAAATACGTTAAAATATAAATCTCTTCTAATTTCGTCATCCTTCAGGTCCGATCCATTAGAAGATTATGGTATTGAACGTACTTCAGAATAATATAGTCATAATACTAATGTGAGGATGTTCATACTTTTACAGGTTAGTTCTTTTCTTTTGTTTACGTTTCTAATTTCCTTTCTCTGTTCTATATCTAAATAAATTTTGCTTTTTTCTTTAGTTATGCAGCATGTTGTGAATTTCTTCAAAACAATTAATTATTATCAATTATTTGTGCACATGAAGCACAGGATGCTGATTATAGATTGTATAAAAAATATCAGAGTACTGGATTTCCAAGTTTAATAACAATATTTTCAGCACCAAATTATCTCGATGTTTATAATAATAAAGGTACTTACTCAGATCTTCTTTTAAAAATTTCTTAATTTGGTATTTTACCTTTTTTTTTCTTCATATATTTAGCTGCAATATTAAAATATGAAAATAATGTTATGAATATTAGACAATTTAATTGTTCCCCACATCCATATTGGTTACCAAATTTTATGGACGTATTTACTTGGAGTCTACCATTTGTAGGAGAAAAAGGTTTGTTCAAAAGAAAGAAGTTTCTATGCTAGTGACAGTTTTTCTCAAAATATCTCAGTTGATGTTATTTCAAATTCACAGTGAGACTACTGAATTTGCGTGTTTGTTTTTTTCACATAAGAACTTTGCTCTAGTATTCACACATTTACTTGTCAGATGATCAATTATTTTGGTTTTGTAAGGTTATTTTTAGAAAAACAGACTTCCGGAAGCTAGTGAAATAATGTCAACAGATTAAAAAATTTTGCAAAATGAGAGCATAACATTTTGGTTTAAACGAAAAAGAAGTATTTGATAACTTCGAAACGTGTCAATAAATGAATAGTTTTAAATTGCTTAATGAAATAAAGTGCGAATAGAATACTAATTGTGTTTTTCCCTGTCGGTAAGCATATCATTTTATTTTTTTCTTCTTCTTGTGTAATTTATAAAACTAGATATCAAATCTTTCTGCTTCGTTGAACATTGTTTATATTTTATCATGATGACTTCCGTTTTTTTTCTTTCTGACGTGAAAAAAACTACAGCCGATTACACCTTTGCAAGGTAGTGTAATTTATTTTTATAAAGAGAAATAAAAAATAAAAGGTAATAGTTTGTACGTTATAAAAACAATATTATACACACTACTGAACCATATTTAAAAATTTATAAGTGAAAACACTTTTACCCTATTCAAAGTTTTAATGATAGTAGCAAGTAGTAAGGTTCATACTCGTAATTTTAGCGAGACAATATTCTTTTATGAAAAAGAAACTCTGATTCAGACCAAAAAAAACACGACCTAGTCTGGATAGCCTAAGTTTGAAATTGAACCAGGCGCTTATTGCTTTTTTTAGAATGATTTTGGATTGACTGCATAGAAGCTATTAACGTATAGGTGACAAGATTTTTGAAACATAAACTTAGATCAAAATATTTTGTTTCTTTTATAAGTTGTAAATAGAGAAGCTGTGATAATGGCTACATGGTTGGTAGCAATAGCACCAAAGACGCGAATCATATGTTCCTTTTAATCAAATTCAGATCCGTCTGACAATGATCAGATGAAAGAATGACAACGTTACTCAGATCTGGAAATTGAATTGATTGAAGGCTAGTATCGGAAGAATGCTGTACAAGTTGGATTAGCTGATTGTATGATTGATTTCGAACAGATGGTGCAGTATAGGAAGGAAGATAAATACTGTCAGAGATCAGTCAAACGAGAACTGATTGCTGTGAGTCATTATTCGAGAGATGAACGATTTTGTTGAGTTAATCAAAAAATAATGAATAAAAAAAAATTATCCAGACGTTGTTGAACAGGCCATTCACGGTAATGCCTTTTTTCTTTGTCTTTCATTTATTTACTTCAAGTTTCGCTTCCCACTTAGGTATTTTACATGAAGGTAAATTACTGAATAAAGCGCTGGAAGCTGAACTAATTACTGATCAACTACGACAAGTACAAGACAAAACACCAGATGAAATTGATATATGTTGTGCTCATCTCTATTCAATGAGAAGTAGCTTCAAATGTCGGGAAGTAGTTGATATATATAGTGGAAATGCATTATTCATTATTCTTTTTGAAGATCATGGTAACAAATCAATTTGACAAAGAGATATTTCGTGTGTATCCCATTATCCACATGAAGAAGTACTAGTTTCTCCCGAGTGTATATTTACAGTTATCGAAGTTAAATACAATGAAATAAACAAAAAATATTTGATTTATCTTTGGGGTTTTAACAAGGATTAGTGAACAATGTGTAAATGTATAGAAATTATAAAAACAGAGTAATGTTTCATTGCAAATTCGTTATAATTTTCTTTATCTTACATACTAAACAACTCTATGCTTTGAAATTAGCTATGATTTTCTTTTGTCTTATGAGTGATTTTTTAGAAACTTGTGTGGTGATGGGAAAAATATGCACACCAGCTGAGTAGTAGTTTATCTACTTTTTCTCTTGCGAAACTTTAGAACAAAAAACTGTTTTCGAGCGAAGGCCAGCTAGTTTCACTTCGTTTTTATAGATAATATTGACTTTTAGCTTCCTTTTTTGTCACATCCATTATTTTCCTCTCACCCTGATTTAGATTAAAAGTGCGTTAAATTAAATGGTCTGATTTATTATCCTCTGCAGCGATAATCTGTTAATCAGAAGAACATCAGCAGTATTATTTTTCTATATAAATAATCTCTGTTTATAAGCAGCGAAAAGGCAGTCGATCGACGTCACCTTTTTTGAAGATAATAATAAAGAAAATTAGTTGTCCTTTCTATGACTCATTTTTTCCATAGTTACAATTTTTCCCTATACAAATGGGCTGTTGCATGATCATCTCATTTTGATGTGAACAAAACTTTTGTTTCCTATCAAATATGGTTGATGAGGACTCAACAGTATACTTTTTAAGTGGAGGCATGCGTAACATATAAAACACTTATCATTATCGTTTGATATTGATTTGCCAAACATTATACCTATTATCAGATGAATGTTTTTTGTTGCCAGTCAAATAATGTGCAAGTGCTCTTATAGAAGAAGATTTTTTGAAACTCTGTTATTAAGATTAAATTGAGCTGGATCAGACAGAAGATATTGTGTGCGAATCTTTTCTTAAAATTAATTTACCTGTTAAAACGAAACGTATACTATTGACTTCAAGATATTTTTTCGAAAACAGTAAGGTTCTGATTCACAACCACTAACTTACTCTTTGATTACACAAAATTTAAGAGACGAATCGTGAGGAGAGCAAGAAAGGCCGTAACATGAAATTTTTTAACATATACTTTTTATTATATTTTTGGATTCTACAATCAAAACTAAGGTTATGAAAAAATTATTAGCCTTCCAGA